TGTTTTTTTTAAGACAGGGTCTCACTCTGTCGACCAGTCTAGAGTACAGTGGCGTGATCTCAGCTCACTGCAACCTCTGTCTCCCAGGTTCAAGCGGTTCTCCTGCCTCAGCTTCCCAAGTAGGTTAACTTTTTGATACCAGACAGTAAGCTTGGATTAAGTATTTTCCATAATAATGCTCATTCATTCATTCATTCATCCATCCTGGCAGCATCCACTTCAGGTTCTGAGCTGGGGTGAGGGATTCAGCCATCCAGGACATGATCTGGAATTTGCTCTGCGCCTTTTCAGACCCTCTTCTCCTCCTCCTCCAGTAAGAAGGTCAACAGGACCTGCTTACAGGCCCCCTATTACTGAAAGCAGACTGAACCTCCAGTTAATGTCCTGCCCAAGGTTTCAAAGGTAGTGAGTGGCAGAGCTAGGCCCAGGCTGCCAGATGCCTCCTTGAGGACATGGGTGTGGCAGAGGCGTGGCCGGTGCTGGAGGGTTGACTGAGGCCTGTCCCACTGCTGCTGTACACAGATGAACGTGGGCTCAAAGGCCCTGGGGGAGATAGGACCACCAGGGAGCTAGTGTGGCCTGGGGGTTCCCGGGGGAAGGCGGTCTCTCCCCAACGCTGGTCTGGGCCTGGCCCTTGCTGCTGGGATGTGTCAGATGCTGTCCTGTGTCCTGCCCTCTAGCATCCCAGGAGGAGGGGGCCAGCCAGCAGGCCTGCTCCTGTTATGAGCTTCCCGACCTTAGAAAAAGCTCAAGCTGATTCCTACAGCCCTGAAGCCCCATGGTGGCTTCTGTGGCAGCCTCACCTGTGCCTCTTCCTGCTATCTCACCAGAGGCCGTGCCATCAGCCTTGCTCTCCACGCAGGTATGGTCATGCCACCAGGGCTCTGGCCTTTGACTGGTGTGTGCAACCCTGCCCTGCCCCCATTTGCCTGTCTCAGCCCTTGCTAGGGTGGAAGCTCCATGAGGGCCTGGCCAGTCACTCTGCTGAATGCCTGAGGGAAAAACCAGTAACAGACCCCACTCAAGGTGGTTGTGAGGACCTGGCAGGGTGGGGGTGTGGCCCAGTACCTCGGAAGACTCTAGGAGGACCATCCTGGCCCTATAAATGTTTGTGCCAAGGCAGGTCCCCTGTCCCTCAGCACACAGGAAGGGGCAGTAGGTAGCAAGACAGTTTCCAGGTGACAGCATGAGGGCAAGTGAGTGAGGCCTAGAGAAGAAGGGTCCATTGCCTCCAGCCCGTCACATTCCCTCCGGGTGGGCTGGACAGCCAGGTGGGAGAAAGAGGGATCCTCAGGTAGGCGGGAGTCAGGGAGAGCTGTGTGCCCTCATGAGGCTTGTGTTTCATCTCCACTTCTCAGATGAGGGGACTGTGGCTCAGAGACCTTTGCAGGGGGACTGATCATTGCACAGGGCCGTCTGAAGGGAGCCTGGGACTGCATTTCCATGTAGGCCCTGGGTGGATCTGGAACCTGGCTGGCTTTCCTGGCTCCCCTACCCTTTGGCTCCCTTATGTTCTTGGCCTTCTTTTCACAGCTCAGAAGCAGCCGAGTAGTTGGTCGTGTTGTCTGCAGTCGCACTGAAGCACATTTTATTTTGGCTAAGTGACATTCCTTTGTTGTCCCTGTCTTGTGATTAGTTAGGGTAATAGGTTGGTTATATTATGTGGAATTTATTGCAGGATGGTAAGGGAGCATGTGACAAAATGGAGCAATAGTTCTGTAAGGCTGAGAGAAGCTGGGTGTGTACCCAGTGGCTGGGCCACTCGGAGGGGACTGTCATGCTGTCAGTACTGTAGTGGGACCCAAGCAGGCTTTACTCACCGGCCTGTTAACAGCTGTGCGAGTCAGGCCTTTCGCTTGTGTTAGCTCACCTTGTGAAAAAATGAGCTCTGACTTAACAGATGACAACTAAGGAATGGAGAGCCGAACCCCTTGTTCAGGGTTGCATAGGAAGTGGCAGGGTCAGGGCTGAATCTTAAAACTTAGAGGGCAGGGCCTGGCGTGGTGGCTCACACCTGAAATCCCAGCACTTTGGGAGGCCAAGGCAGACGGATCACCTGTTGTTAGGAGTTCGAGACCAACCTGGCCAACCAACATGGTGAAACCCCATCTCTACTAAAACTACAAAAAGTGGCAGGGTCAGGGCTGAATCTTAAAACTTAAGAGGGCAGGGCCTGGCGTGGTGGCTCACACCTGAAATCCCAGCACTTTGGGAGGCCAAGGCAGACGGATCACCTGTTGTCAGGAGTTCGAGACCAACCTGGCCAACCAACATGGTGAAACCCCATCTCTACTAAAACTACAAAAATTAGCTGGGTGTGGTGACAGGCGCCTGTAATCCCAGCTACTCCGGAGGCTGAGGCAAGAGAATCGCTTGAACTCAGGAGGTGGAGGTTGCAGTGAGCCGAGATCACGCCACTGCATTCCAGCCTAGGCAACAGAGTCTTGAGACTCTGTCTCAAAAAAAAAAAAAAAAAAAACCAAAAAACTCTAGAGGGTAAAATAACTAACATCTGGGATAAAGTTAGCTGTTGAAATAAATACAAGTCCTACTGTTGGAGTAGTGTCAGAGCTGGCCTGCATCTTTGACTTTGAGACTTCCTAGCAGCCAGAACAAAGAAAGAAATGGATTATTTCCACTGGAGCCACAGTGGCCGTAACAAACAGAAGCCATCTATTTGGATGCTGGAAATGGAGAAGACTTGCTCCCTAGAAATAGATGCTGCAGGATGTGGTGGGTGACATTCTGTTCAAACCACAAATACCTGAAATGATTTGGCCACTGTGATCACTCAACCACAGTATGGCCTAAGCTGGGTCCAGGGAGCAGCTGTTGCTGGCCTGGCTTGACTTTTGAGGGAGGTGGAATAGCGGGCACGTGAGAGAAGGGAACCTCAATCCCCCACAGCTGCTGACACAGCCCCCAGACTTGAGCTTGGCTCCCCCATCACCCATCCCCCCATATAGCTTAATCAGATGGGCATCTGGTGGTCCTTCCCTGCAGTGGCCAGAGTCCAGAGCCTGGGCTGTGCAGGCTGAGGTTTCGGCTGCAGCAGGGATTGTCCTGCCCCCGTGTGCCCACATGTTGCAACCTGGCTGGAGCCTCTGGCATAGGATACCCATACCGCCAGGTAGCTCAGTGGTAGACTCGGGCTCTGATACTTGGCAGGCTTGGGTTGAGATTGTGGCTCTAGGCCTGGGCGGCTCTCATGGACTGCTGTGGGGAGTCGGGGAAGAACCCCTGGGTTGTGCTCAGCCAGCAGGCAGGTGGCAGCCAGGCTGGCTATGGGTGAGGACGGGAATCCTCTTTTCACCACTGCCTGCCTGCTCAGCAGTTCCTCAGCTGCTGGGGGTGGAGCTGGCTTGCAGGGGCCAGAGTCAGAGTGAAACCGGCAGCTCTGCTGGTTAATCTCAGCACTGATACTGGGGACTAGGCCTGGAGCGGAACTGAAAGGGAGACCAGGCCTGTTCCCCTCCAGGCCTGGCCTATATCCTGCCAGTGATCCTTAAGGCCTGCAGCCAGTGGGGAGGGTGGAGGCCAGGCAGGGCCAACTGGAAAAGTAGCAGAAGGAAGTGGCCACTCGCACCTTACCCATCTTGCAGACAGGAAATGAAGGCTCCGCAGGGCTGGCTAGCTGTGAAAATGGGCAAGAGCACAGAGGCCCCACTCCCTGCACTGTGTCCAGTGCCCGTGTGGATGCCATGCGAGGCCTCACTCTGCCTGCCCCTTCCTGGCTGCTGGACCTCTGGGAGTGGGAGGTGAAAATGCCCTGGCTGGTGCTGGTCACTTCAGGTTGGAATGTTCTAGTCATGCAGCTTTCTAGTGAGAGGCTGCAGTAAGCTGTGGCCAGTGTTGGTCGTTCCTGCAGTCATTACTCTCCTCCAGCCTGTTGTGTCCACCAACCAGAGCAGGCCCGGGAGCTCCCAGGAGACCTGCTGAGAGGGCCCAGGTGGCCATCCTGCTCCTGCCAGGATGCCCTCTTACCTCACTGTTCATTGACTCCCCTGCAGGTGGGGAAGAGGGATAAAGGAGGTGGCCAGGCCACTGGGTCATGATCCTTCCAACAGAGGTACCTGCTACCTCTGTGTCTAAAGCAAGGTTAAGCTTTTGGGGGTTAATAGCACTAGCAGCTCCAGTCCAAGGTGTGCCCTTTTGGGCTTGGGTGGAGGTTGGATTACCTGAAGCCACAGTTGCTGGAACATCCTTTGGGCCTGCCTCTGCTTTCCATCCCCCTGCTCCTGGTTTGTTAGGGGCTATAGTATTTTCCAGGAACACCTGAATGGAAGGGGACCAGTGGGACCACTTCTGTCCATTCCTCACTTCATCTCTTTCTCCCCTTTTCTTCTTTTGGTCATCTTTTCAGTCTTATCACAAGAGGAAGGGGAGGGGCAAAGCCCCTCCTGAGCAGATTCCCAACCGGAAGCAGCTGGCTCCTTGGCTGCAGAGTGCCCAGCACAGGAAGCATCTGCAGGGTCAGTCAAGACCTGGGAGCAGAGTTCCTGCCAGCAAAGGAACAGTGGCCAACTCCTAGCCACCCTGCAGCCCTATGTGCCGGGTGTCCTGGGAAGGTCCAGGGCCAAGATTTTGTGGTTTTACAGTGGCTGTAACTTGGGCTAGCCATGCTAGGCTCTGTCCCTTTTGGGCTTGGTGTGATGAGAGGGTCAGCAGCTGGCATCACCTGGCTGGGCAGGGAGCTCTTTGCTCACCAGTGGGAAGAGAAACGGATGTCAGACACATGGCAGAGTGGAAATGTCCCCAGGTCGAGGTCCAAGGGGCTGGCCTTCTGCCAGCACACGCTGCTTAGGACCTCAGTGTGAATGGTGTTCAGGAGGCTAGGGTAAGGCACCCTGGACCTCACTACAGGCTCAGAGCCTGCACAGCAACACCATGGATACTCTCTCTAAAAGGGGGACTCCTGGGGAGACTATAGACAGACTCAGGCCTGGCTGGAAAAAAAAGCATCAGGAACAAGCTTTGAGTACCCCATCTTGGTCTCGTAGAGTTCAAGGCCCAAGCTACAAGCAGCTTGCTCCAGCATCCAGGAGGTCCGGCGGTGCACACGCCTTGAGATGCCTGACAACCTCTACACCTTTGTGCTGAAGGTGAGTGACAAGGCTTTTCACACCCTGGGGCAATACAAATACATACACATACATCAGACCCAACCCTGTTCCCTTCCTTCCTGCCAGGTGAAGGACCGGACAGACATCATCTTTGAGGTGGGAGATGAGCAGCAGCTGAATTCATGGATGGCTGAGCTCCGGGAGTGCACAGGCCGAGGGTGAGGTCCCAGGCCCTTGTCCCTGGCACGACCTTTGCTGCTACCACCCCCTGACCTGCCCAGATTCTTAACCTCAGCCTCTTCTCCAGCAGGCTGGAGAGCACAGAAGCAGAGATGCATATTCCCTCAGCCCTAGAGCCCAGCACATCCAGCTCCCCAAGGGGCAGCACAGATTCTCTTAACCAAGGTGAGTAAACCAATGGCTAGGCCATTGTATTCTGGGTATGCTGGAACCCAGACTCAGCTCAGGACATAAGGCAGCCCCCTGCGACCACCATCACCCATCTTAATCTAACAGGTGCTTCTCCTGGGGGGCTGCTGGACCCAGCCTGCCAGAAGACAGACCATTTCCTGTCCTGCTACCCCTGGTTCCATGGCCCCATCTCCAGAGTGAAAGCAGCTCAGCTGGTTCAGCTGCAGGGCCCTGATGCTCATGGAGTGTTCCTGGTGCGGCAGAGCGAGACGCGGCGTGGGGAATACGTGCTCACTTTCAACTTTCAGGGGATAGCCAAGGTATGGGGCGGGGCAGGCAGGACCGTGCCACTCCTCTCCACTGGAGTTCAGGGTCCTAGAGGGACAGCCCGAGCCCACCATCCTCTCCTCCCACAGCACCTGCGCCTGTCGCTGACCGAGCGGGGCCAGTGCCGTGTGCAGCACCTCCACTTTCCCTCGGTCGTGGACATGCTCCACCACTTCCAGCGCTCGCCCATTCCACTCGAGTGCGGCGCTGCCTGTGACGTCCGGCTCTCCAGCTACGTGGTAGTCGTCTCCCAGCCACCAGGTCTGACCCTACTGCCCTTTGCTAAAGGGGGTGGCTGACACTGGGTAGAGGCTTGCTGCAGATAAGGTACAGGGTACAGGGATCTTGTTCTGTGTCCTGTCAGCACTTGCCTTAAGACTGATGGTGTGGTCTCTCTCGGTCACTTGTCCTAGGTTCCTGCAACACTGTCCTGTTCCCTTTCTCCCTTCCTCACTGGGATTCAGAGTTGGGCCTTCCCCACCTTAGCTCTTCTGGCTGTCCCCGGGGGCTCAGCCCAGAGGGTCTCCCAGGGCGATCCTCACCCCCCGAGCAGATCTTCCACCTGGTGCCTTCGCCCGAAGAACTGGCCAACAGCCTGCGGCACCTGGAGCCTGAGCCTGTGAATCGAGCCCGGGACTCGGACTACGAAATGGACTCATCCTCCCGGAGCCACCTGCGGGCCATAGACAATCAGTACACACCTCTCTGACCAGAGAGGAATTCCAGGCCTCAACAGCTGCCCTTGAGGAACACAGGCAGAAGTGTGAACTTGTGAATGTAATTGATCTTTCCTTCCTTCCAGAGAGAGATTTAAGGGACACTGTTAACTGCTCGTGCCAGTTTGGACGTGACCCTTCTATTAGGCCTGTTGAAGGGCCCTCCTGTAAGTTTCATCTATCACCTGGCTTTCTCCTTATTGTTTACAGATGTAGTTCTTGTTAGAGGATGCCGCTAGCTCCTGCCCGGGGTCCCTATGCCCAGTCCCTGTTACTCTTAGAGAAAGGAGTTGGGGTGAGGGCCAGAGCTGGCAGTGGAAACTTGTTCTCTTTTTCACTGACACTGTCACAGCAGATGACAGACTTTCTACGGGAAGTGGGGGTCATCAGGAAGCCCAGAACACTAATAAGCGGTTCTCCCATCTACCGTCAGTCCATGTGGCAGGTCTACTGTGTCCATGCCACAGATGACCACACCTAATCCTGCTTCTACTCTCAGCTTTAGGACAAAAGCTCTGTCAGAGGGACAAGCTGAAGGTCAAAAATGATTTTAAACATTTTACCTCAGACTAATTTCTTTAAAGGATTCAGGTTCAAAACTAAACCACTGCTTATTTCAGTGCACTGTTTCAACTAACACCCATGCAATTTTTGTAGTCGGAGAGAGCTATGCAAACCCTACCTAATTCACAGTCTGAGCCAGCACGCTGACTTGTCTGCTGCATCCTCGGGACAGTCACTGCTGCTGAGCGGCCACTGTCCTTCCTAAATGTCAAGAAGTGAAGTATGTCACCCTTTCAGGGAAATTCAGGCAATTACTGAAATAGGGTGGCAAAGAACGGTTCTACCCTGGTGCCTTACGAACAAAAAACTGGATTCTGGTTTACAGCAGCTTTACAGTGGTAGTTAAATTAACTGGGGTTGGGGGAAGAACAAGCAAAAAAGGAAGAAGGACTCCTGGGCCCTTTCTAGTAAATCCTTCAACAACAAGGCTGGCTCGGTGCCCTCCAAGCATCTAATGGCTTATTAAATTATCCCACAAGTGGGTTTTGGGCTCCTTTTTTGAGCCAAAATGGAAGCTGGGAATCTGGTGCCGTAACTAATGAGAAACTCTTTTAATAGCCCACAATCAGTGTTCTGTTCCAGCTGGCTACTGCTTCATTGGATTGAGAATGTATCTCCATGCACACATGGGCGCACACAATCTCCACCATCCAGGGAGGTCCTGAAGTCAAATCTCCATCTATACAAGTGCTACAATTCATGGGGGGCTGGCTCCTCCCAGAATCTTTGTCTGGAGGCTCAGAAACAAGGGGGCAGTGACAGTGGAATCAGCTGCTCTTGGGTGCCAACAGAGCCATTCAGTACAACCCCCAGGCTCACGGCTGTGGCTTCTAGGAAACTGGGAGTTTAGATCAGCTTTACAGATACATCAATCAGAGGCTAAAATAAAACCTTGGCCTAAAACTCGCAGGACTGACTGCCTGGGAGGAGGGTTAGGTCTGCTCCTTCTACTTAGTCTCTGTACTCCAAGAGGTCAGATTTCTGCTTTTAGAATTTTCTTTGGGTCTTTCAGAGGGTGGGGAAACAAACCCCTCTGCACCACTGTTTTTCTTTCTTTTTTTTTTTTTGAGACGGAGTTTCACTCTTGTCAACCAAGCTGGAGTGCAGTGGTGCGATCTTGGCTCACTGCAACCTCCACCTTCCTGGTTCAAGCAATTCTGTCTCAGCCTCCTGAGTAGCTGGGATTACAAGCGCCAGTCACCACGCTCGGCTAATTTTGTATTTTTAGTAGAGACAGGGTTTCGCCATGTTGGCCAGGCTGGTCTCAAATGCTTGACCTCAGGTGATCCATCCACCTTGGCCTCCCAAAGTGCTGAGATTACAGGCGTGAGCCACCATGCCCAGTCTGTACCACTTTAGTACCAACACTCCTGGGTGATTTCATGGACCCTAAAGCAGACCTGACACTGATCCAGATTTGCAGTCCATTTTTAAGGACACCTGTCTTTATCTCCTCAAAGTCAAGCAGCTTTCTCTGGAAAATGAATGCTAACTAGTGTGAACCAAAAGAGTAAGTAATAGTCTGAAGTTTTTTTAAAGGAGAAAGCTCAAAAGTCATTGGTCCTCCCCTCCGCACAGGAAAGATGCCCAGTAGATAATGAACCAAATTAAGTTCCTTCCCTCCAGCCAGAAGTTAAACATCTGGGATATGACGTCTTCACACCAGGGGCACTCATTTCTTAGCAGCCTCTCTACACACATCTCTCAGGTGGTGCCAAGAGGCACACCAGGTAGAGCAAACTTGGCAGCTCTAACAGGCTGCAAAGTACAACTTCAGATTCCGTGGCAGAGATTTGGAAAGCACCCACCTCCAGACTGCTTCCTTTCTAAACTCGTCCAAGTTACCAGGACAGCTCAAATACATGCTGACAAAAAACTCTCATGGCCCTAGGAAGAAGTGACACTAAGCCAACGCCTTTTCTTTGTGCGGGAGCAGACCCAGCTGATGAAGGGGTGGGCAGCAGTGTGGGGCAGGCACCCCACTGGCTGCAGCTAGCCCACCATAGGCACAGCACATCCCACCACTCTCCTTCTAGTCCCGACCAGGCCCCAGCCAGCAACTTCTACCGAGAGCCATGGCTCAGTACCAAACTGGACAGTAGACATCATGATCCCTCCAGTTAGCTCTAAAATTACAGACCCCACCAGTAGAGCTTGACAGCTCCCGGCACCATCACTTCCTTCATCTGACTTTATTGAACTTTTACAAACTAACAGTCACCAGCACCAAAGAATTAAGTCAACTAACCTGCCTTGAATTTTAGACCAGCAATCCATATGGCTTTATCTGGTATAAATCTTCTGCCTTTGATCATTTCTGGACCGTAGGAAAAAGGAATAGCAATCATTAAAATCTTGGGCCAGAGAACACTATTTTTACATAACAGTTTCTTAACCTAAAGTCAAGGCCTTGGACTCTTCCCTGAGGGTTGCCTGCGATTCCTTCATGCTTTCTATTCAGGGCTAAGTCCCTTACTGCAAATGTGTTAGCTCTAACATCTCCCACAAGCTAGAGGAACTTGCGAGTATATTAACAAGGACACATCTGACATCCTGTATTTGGTTAGAATATACAGCACATTGTGATAACAAAGTGGATTCATCTTGTATCATTATAGGCAGAAGGTATTTGGCAAATTTTTATGTATTGTTTTATGTACTGTACAAGTAACTTATTCTTGAATAATGCAAATTTTGCTATAATGTACAAATTGCTATATGTGAATTAAAAAGTTTTCAGAATCTTGATTTGCTGTCACAATATTTAAAGGCTCAATTAAGACCATGGTCTCTCTACAAAACCCTTGCCCTGCCCAAATACTTGCTCTTCCCTTTGTCCTCCCCACTGCAATCTGGGAATATTAACAAATGCTTATGAGTCCATCTATGTCAATAAGCAGCTTTGTACATCTTTGTGTCTTTTCAGCCTTCATGCCCTCTGGATTTCTTTATTGCATTTTTTTTCTGAGTGTTTCCTGCCCCCTACTGGTAAAATAGGAAAATGCCTGAATTGGGAACTTCCAGCTAATGACACTCATTTTGGTTCAGGAGATATTAAAAAGGAAGCTTACAGAATTGGTGCCAGCTCGAGGATGTGGAATTTCAGTGCTGCCCAACTCTGGCCAACCTTCCTCCTCCTGAAGCAGATCTCTAATCCACCAAAGAGAATAGCTCAGTCTTGTCTTTTTCTAGAGACACCTTGAACCAGAACTAAAGGTGAAGAAGAAAAATCATTTGACAGCTACCTTCCGGGATATTAAAAACACACCCTTAGCGCACCTGCTTTGATATTAAGTATCCTACAGTAGAAGTAGCTTATACAGACACACACTAACTTGATCAGTTTTTAAAACTTTTTTTATTTTTTAAATTTTTTTAAAGTTTTTATTTTATATTATCTACAAAGTAAAAGTTTTTCCCTTAACTTAAAAGTTGAACCACTGTAGACAGTGATCACCTCATCAAACTTGATTTATAAATAATAATCCGTCAGTTTGACGGTAAGAATTTACTGAACCTTTGTCAAGTTTAGTAAAAGGGCGTTCCAAGTCTTGATTTTTTTTTTTTTTTTTTTTTAAGCAGTAATAGCAGCAAGAATCACTCTTGTTACTTCTTTTGCTAGCTGATGTGTTCATGACTTTCAAGGGTTATTAAAAAATAAATAACTTCCAGTTTCGGCAAGCAGAGCTGGGGTACCTGTGGGACTCTGAAACAGCGTATGGAATTATGGAATAGCCCCCAAGTTCCTAAATGCCTCTACTCGGTCCAAATATCTTCCACTGCAAGTGAACTGTTAGCATTCCTATTGGATGTTACAAGAAATCAACATATATATTTTAAAAACAAAATAAATGAAATTCTAGTTTTCTGTGCTTCCAGTTGGTAGAAGCAGTAGAAGGGAGGAGGGAATTTGGCCTTTCGGTTCCTCCAGGGCAGCCTTACAACTGCTGTTGGTGGTGGGCTTGTACTGTAAAAAGAAAAGCGAACATTGAAACAGAAAACTGGCAACACTACACATCAGCCTAGTGTCTCTGCAGCACATGATTGTAAACTATCCTCGTGCTAGCTGAACAAGACTCAAAATTGAATTCGCTTTCCCCCCTCCCATCTGCACCAAAGTGGGGAGGGTTGGGTGGGTGGGTAGAAACAAACCAGTCAGACGTAAAACCACTTCAGGTAAAACTCCCAGAAGACTTGTTCATGGGTTAGAAAAAAAGGCCTTAACAAACCCCCTCCCCAAATATTAGCCAAGCACCAGTACTGCTTTCAGAATAACAGGTCAGACTGTAAAGTATCGCCATGGCAGCCATCAAGTAGTAGAGCACAATCACAGGGCGCTCTCCCCTGGTCAGGGCATAGGCTGGGGCTAACGCTACACTCAAAGCCAGTCCATCCACAGCGCTTTCTCAGCAGTATCTTCTCCAGAGCTACAATCAAACTCTGCCATGGTAATAACCCCCCACATGTCAGACTTTTGGGACTCAGGAAGGAAAACACTGCCCTGTCCAACCTATCATAACAAGGAAGGCCAACTGAGTCCTAGGCATGCATCAGCTACACAGAATGCTGCTGCTGCTGCTTCTCATCAAGCCAAATCCTGTATACCATCAGAACACACACAGACTCGGCTCCCGGAAGCCTCAGGCCCCGATGCTAAACTGATCGTCACAGTCCCTCCTGTGCACACTCCTGGATGGGTCTTGCTAGTTCTCAAATGTGGGCTTGAAGCACTGGCCCTGCCTGCCATTCCACCTGTGCGAGCAGAATGCTTTGGGGTGCCCCGGCGGCCCCTGCACACACACGCCTCACCTGAAGGGTGCGTCATATAGGGGAAATGCGCAGTTGTCGAGACTGGAATGGGCTGTAGTGCACTTTGAGCGAGGGCGGCCTGGGGACCGCCGGGTGGCTGTGTCGTCATTAGCATCATTGGCGCATGGGCAGTTGGATGAGAAGGAACCATTCCTGACTGTACATGAGCCTGAAACAGAGAGCTCTTTTACGCATACAGGCAACATCTCCGGCTTCAACAACATGTCAACTGTGTTCCTTTCACTGGGCTGGGACTCTCAGGAAAGGGCAATGGTGGGCCTCAGGGCCCAGTTCTGTTCTCTGGGGACAGTCTCTAGTAGATTATCTGTTGACCTGAAGATGTGCTTCACCTTTGGGTAGATCCTGCAAGGAAGGGTCAGGGAGCAGGCACCAAGTGAGCCTAGGTAGAAGTCAGGGCTGTGCTGTCCTAGCCCTCGACATTTCTGATCATTGTATTCTACATATGGGGTAAGATCTTCACAAAGATTAGACACTGGATCCAAGGGTAGCTTTCTCAACTTAATATCATACAAGATTCAATGATGCTTCAGAATCAGGCTGCCATGTGGGGCCTGAGGCAATTTTGCAGATAACATCCCTTTCAAACAGGAAAGCAGATTACTACATTAATAAGCAGAGACTGTCACAGTCCAGTATGTGAATTACTTGGACCTCTGTTCATTTGCCTCTCTCCCTCTGCTTCTGGCCTGCTCACCAGGCAGTGCAAAGAGACTCTTAGGCCCCCGTGACTCTCTGAGAGATATGCTGATGGAGCAGGAGGAGTTGGAGTTTTTAATGGCTCCAGTGAGACGGAAAGGAGTAACCTGGAAGATCTGGGCCAGCCCAGTGTCTCTGTACCAAGTTCAACCTGGTCTCACTCACTGTCAAATTGGAAAGGTGATTTTAGTCAGCCCAAACTAGCTGGATTCCAGCTCTGCAGGGGGTTGGCAGGGCCAGGAAGAGCCCTTGTTTCCTTTTTCCCACACTGTGCACTGTTCTAGACTATGATGAGCCTTGGATGAAATGCCGTTTTTACTCTCACGTATTCAAATGGGTACATGGCATATTTGAGCTTCCCTGTGTTAACCTTTTTGCCCTTTCAGCACAAAAACACAGTGAGGTATTAGGGATCCCTGACTTACATGTAAGTTCACATGCCTACTTAGCCACCAGCCTCTGCTAGACACCTACAGGACCCCAGCTCTTATGAAGCTGACTCCACCAAATCACGCTGGCCGCCACGGACCAAACCGGCTTCCCTCCCCACTATCAAAAAGCAAATCAACTGCAGTGCGCTACACCACAGAACCTAAACTTTGCAGGGTGAGGACGCCCAAACTTCCCAGAGCTGTGGAACTCTACTTACAAGGTAGCCTTCTGAGAGATAGATCCAACTGAGTCGCATCTCTAGCCCACACCTTGCCAGAGCCTCACTGGCGCACTATTTAACAGGAAATGGAATTCATTGTGGCAGGTCTCACTTAGACCCGCCTCAGAGAGTTCTGTTATGAAGTAGCAGAGACATCTAATACAGCCAATTCACCCGTAACAGCCCCAGGGAGGGCCTCAAGGCCAGCGTTAGAGCCCAACTTCAGTGCAGCTCCTTCTCCTCATTAAGACAATCCCCTGGGCCCTGGAGTGCAGGGACCTTGTCAGCAGCTGATGCAAACAGCAACCACGGAGATGGCAAGCACACCTTTCACCTGGAGCAGCTGACACTGGAGGTGAGCTCCCAAGTGCTTCCAGGGCTGCTCTTCAAGAAAAATGGGACCACCTGGGTGCTTCCAGCTTCTAGTTACACTGCACCAATGTCCAAGGCCAAGCCCTCTCAAGAGTACAACTTATGGTCAAAGCAGATATATGAATAACCAGGGAAAACAATTGGAGAGATGTGTCTGGAACTCATGTGAGTAACAATCAAGTTGACAGGCCCCAGTAGTCACCTCGGAGAGCTGAGACTCTGTGAAGGCCATCATCCCCGCCTGGCTTTCGAGGTAAGTGTGTAGAGGGGGATATATATGTACACATATATAGAGTAGTGAGGCTCTATAGACGTAGCAAAGCAGACACAGAAAGGAAAGAAGGACTGGGTTGCATTCCAGAGTCAAAGATATTTTTAAGGTCTCAGTTGGAAAACTAAAGGACTGACCAATCAGCACCTTCACTGATCCCATGACAAAACCACACAAACATTCCCTTAGGGCCAGATCACGTGTATTTGAGCGGGAAAGGGAGACAGGCAAATGGCATGACACACAGGGTTTCCTAGCTGGGAGAGCCTCTAGCTGCTTACTGATAACCTTCACATTCTACTTGGCCTTCACAGAAAGTTGGCTAAAGCTGGTTTACCTGAGGTACGTGGGCCATGTGGGGTGGGTTGGTATACGCCGGCTGAACGTGAGAAGGATGGATCGTAAAGACGGTCTGTTGTGCTGCTGGGAAACTATTCTGTGGCGACTGCGTGTTGGAGGCAGGTGTCATGGAGGGTGGAGTTGGTGCAAGCCCCGCGTGGTAAATGGCTGACTGCTGCTGTGGACTGGCCAGATGGAGAGCCTGGGCGGCCTGGTGCTGATGGTGCTGCAAAGCGACAGGAAAGAATTGAGAGGAAAACTTCTTTAATGAAAAGCAGCCAAGGGATACTCACAAAGCTGAGCTTTGCACACGTGGGCCTATGATGAGAGGCAATGGAAAGTACAGTGGAATGTACAGGATGGTAAGAGCAAGGCTGGAGGTGCTTCCCATCTGGACATTCCTTTCTGGGGTGCAGAAGCCTGATTCTCGGCCTGGCAGTTAGAAGCTTCTGAGCATACTAAAGTTAAACAAGACTACTGCCCCAGGGAACTGACAAATATCAAAGAGTCTTTACCTCCATTAGCAAATATAATTCAAGAAGCTCATAGGAAAATAACCTCATCACATAAACCTTAATTAAAATTTAA